CATGCCTGCCTAACCTGACAGCCTTCTACAAAGTGATGACTGGCTTGGTGGACAAGGGGAGAGCAGTGGACATTGTTGATCTTGATTTTTAGCAAGGCTTTCAACACTGTCTCCTGTAACCTTCTCACTGATTAAGTACAACCTAGATAAATGGACAGTGAAACTGAAAACTGGCTGAACTGCCAGGCTCAGAGGGTTGTGATCAGTGCCAGGAAGTCCAGCTGGAGGCCCATCAAAGTCCTGCTGGAAGCCTGTTTCTAGTAATGTACGCTAAGGGTTCATACTGGGTCCAATACTATTTAACATCTTGATTAATTATCTGAACAATAGGACAGAGTGCTCCCTTGGCAAGTGTGCAAGCAATGCAAATTTGGGAGGAGTGGCTGATGTGCCAGAGGATCATGCTGCCATTTGGAGGGACCTCCACAGGCTGGAGAAACAGACTGACAGGAAACTCATGAAATTCAACAAAAGCAAATGCAAAGTCCTGCACCTGGAGAGGAATAACCCCATGTACCAGTACAGGTTTGTGAGCTGGCTGGCTGGAAAGCAGTTGTGGAAGAGGCTCCAGGAGGTCGTGGTGGACACCAAGTTGACTACAGTGAGCAATGTGTCTTTGCAGCAACAAAGACCGACAGCCTCCTAGGTGGCATCACGAACACATGAAGGAATGTGTTTATTTTCCTCTATTTGGCACTGGTGATGCCACATATGGAGTGCTGTGTCCACCCCTGGGCTCCCCAGTACAAGAAAGAAATAGACATACTGGAGCAAGTCCAGCAAATTGCTACAAGATGAATAAGGTATTATAGCATTTGTCATGTGAGGAGAGGCTGAGCGAGCTGAGATTGTTTAGCTCAGAAGAGAGATGGCTTTTTCCCGCTGTCATCTCTGGGCAGTTGGGGGAAGTACATGAAGCCCTGTTTTCTACAAGACTCATCAAGCAGATGCCATACAGATGAGGTATTGCTTGTGAAGCAATTTGAATGAACAGAGCCATACCTTCTTTCCTGGTGATCAGATCTATGATCTAAGTCTAGCTTATGAAAATGCTTCTTGGCAGGGTTTCTTTAGTTACCACATCAGCAGCTGTGGAATGATGAAATATCTGTATAGGTGTTTAGACTTCAGTCCATCCACTGCTTCTATACCAAGAACTTGTTTGCCTCCTGTGATTGATAAGGCTTTTTGTAAGATAATAATGAAATGGACCATTGAAGACTAGGTGAGTGAATCCAAAACAGAACTGTGAGAACTCCTGTCCACTGCTGCTTGTTCATCGTCCCAAGAGAACCAATGAGCTTGATCATGAAAGAGGATCCAACTTTTTTTTTTTTAATTAATATGAAAGCAATAAGCAGTCATCACACATACCTCTTGATCCTATGGTCTTGGGTGTCTGTGGTTTCACTTTTCCTTTACAGCTCTTGGCCTTTCTGACTGGTAGTTTAGCTTTCACACCATTGGTTTCCATTTCGTCCAAAATGTTGATGAAAACTCGTCCATTGAAGAACCAATGAAAAGCTTTCCTGTAAAGGACAAAAAAAAAAAGCTAAACTAAACAAAAAAGTGCAGAACTACATTTGAGCAGAGCTCAGCTATTTGTGAAAGGACATGGAGAACTCTTTGCAGATATGTGCATGGCACTGTGGACACAGTGTGGTGCAAAAGCCATTTGTATTATGTTGAGGGAAAGAGAATGTCAGGACCAAAATCCTAGCTGAAAGTTTGTGCCGGTCTTTGGAAGAGAGGTGCTGATGACATTTGTGGTAGAGAATGTAGAACATGCTTGAAGTTCCTTGACTTACGGTCAGAAATTGGGCTCTAGCGACTTAGGGGCAGTGCGACTGAGAAGACAGTGGTGCTGTCATGGCTGGTGGGACAAAGCTGTTGCAGTTCTAGCTCTGCTGTACATTGGACCTCACCACCTATGCTACATTTTACTTCCCTTCCTCACCTGTCTTTCCTATACCTGCAGATGAGTTCTGAAGGGATGTCTGATACTGCACAGGTGTACTTTCTGCTCCTTCTACTTGCACTTCCTAGTCCAAGACTATAAGCTTCTGTTCTGGAAAAAAAAAATAAAAAATTCCTCCTTTGCTGCCAAACCCTCTTTCAAGAATCCCTGCTGCTATCCCTGGTGCTTGTTTGCCAGTCTTTCAGCTGTGCATCCTTGTGTCTTTGAGTAGCTGGTTTCATTCACCTGTGCTGGCACCTCTAAGCCAAGAAAATTGAACGGGCTGTTGTTCCCTCCCCAGCGTGCCCAGGAAGAAAAAGAATAAAAGGGAAAATATCTCTACTGCCTGTTGACATCAGAAATGATGGATGAGGAAGAAGCAAAGTGGGGTCTGCAAAACAGACTTGCTAATCTGGGAACTTAAGTGTCTGAGTTCTGGCATTTCTTGAAGATCCCTGTAATACAAAACCCCTCCCCTGGGAAACTCAACTCCTAGAGACCTCCTCCTTCAGTACAACTTTTCCATTTGTCTTCATTTCCTCCTAGCCCTCAGTAGAGGCAAATTACCCTCAAATGAAGAAGAATCCCAGAATCATCTCTAGAGAGTGTGATGTGTGTGACTAGGGGCAGGATCTAGTCCACTTGTTCACATAGGTTCCTTCATTGTTTTGATCCCCCAAAGGTCTATAGATTTCAGTCACACTACTCTGCCTCCCCTCCCCTCCAGATACTTCCTTTCACATGTGGTTTCTCCCACAATCAAAGCAAATCTGGAGTTTTCAGTAGATTCAGATGTGGCCAAACTCCGTGAACACACACAGCGAATTTCATTGTGCTACTACTACAACAATCTCTGCTGTGAATCTGGCTTGAGGAAGGTTCAAGTCTCCATTGACTTTTCATTATACTGTCAAACTTTTCTGGGTATGCAACAATTTGATGGATAGATGCGTCTTGCCATTTTATTGAAACAAATTAAAAATATAATCATGCAGCCAGAGGGATGACGAAAAAAATGCAAATGGGTAATAACTGCAACCTGTTGTCTGTATGCACTGTGGGGGGAAGAGAGATCTACGATTCTGTGCTGTCCTGGTTTTGGCTGGGATAGACTTAATTTTCTTTCTAGTAGCTGGTATAGTGTTATGTCTTGGATTCAGCATAAGAATGTTGATAAAACAGTGATGTTTTCAGTTGTTGCTAAGCAGTGTTTATACGAAGTCAAGGATTTTTCAGCTTTTCATGCCCAGCCAGCAAGAAGGCTGGAGGGGCACAAGAAGTTGGGAGGCGACACAGCCAGGACAGCTGACCCAAACTGTCCAATGGGGTATTCCATACCATGTGATGTCATGCCCAGCATATAAACTGGGGGGAATTGGCCAGAGGGGATTGCTGCTCAGGAACTAACTGGGCATCGGTTGGGGAGTGGTGAGCAATTGCATTGTGCATCACTTGTTTTGTATATTCCAATTATTTTATTAGTATTGTCATTTTATTATTGTTATTAATATAATTATTAGTTTCTTCCTTTCTGTTCTATTAAACTGTTCTTACCTCAACCCACAAGTTTTACCTTTTTCCTTCCGATTCTCTCCCCCATCCCACTAGGGGGGGAGTGAGTGAGCAGCTGCATGGTGCTTAGTTGTTGGCTGGGGTTAAACCATGACAGTGCCCATACAGTTTATAAATTTTACAGTGAGTTGTTACAGAAAACATGAACAGAGGGAGAGAGATAATTCAAGATGTAGGGACTGAAGATTTGCAGTTCCCACTCCTAGCTGAATTCAGTAAATGCAAACCAAAATTTTGTTTTTATTAATCTGTCCTCAGAAATTTTACATTGCCAGCCACCCTGTGGCCCACTTCATGGTGACTCTATTTTCGTGCACACTCTTATATACCCCTTAGATACTCTGTGCCGTTATCATAAGGCCTCTAGGGAAAGTGACCGATCCAGGTTTGAACCATTTCAAAATTAGGAGGAAAGTGGATTCAGATGAGTTACTGCACAGAGGAATGATTTAGCTACTGGGCTGCTATGTAAAAGTTGATGACCACACCATGACTACCACACTACCATTATGTTCTTGAATAAAACTTAAGTGTGACTTCTCACTGTGGGTGTATGGACAACCTCAGCTTTCTTAATGAATTACACCCTTGGGCAGATTTGGATTTGGGGCCATTTAATCTGTAGATCTCAAACGGCCTCAAGCAACATACCGGTGGCCATATACCAAGATGACACTGGCTTTTGACCCTGTTTAAAAGAGCTCTGGACAGAAGATAGAGTGCCTATAATATTTCAGATACCTCAGTGAGTTAAATGATGTACATGGATTGTTTTCTTGCGTGTGTACAACAGTCCAGGTTCCAATTTTGTGTAATCTTGTATCTTCCCTTAAGTGCTCTGTAAAATTAATGAATTAAGACCTAGAACTTCATTTTGAGATAGGTGAGAAATATTACATATAGATTAATGTTGATTAAGAGAAGACATTGTGAGACCGCTCATGTTTACAGACATCAGTCACTGGCACAATCAGGACTACTACCGAGCATACTCATTCTGATTGATGACTCACTGGATACCATTCCACTGTCAGTTTTATATCTACTTTTTATATATATATATATACAATTTTATATATATACACAGTTTATTTTCTCTGTGATTGTACACTGTGCTTTTCCTTCAAAGGGGAATTTTATTCAAAGATTACAATATATTCAAAATCACAAATGGTGTTTGTTTCATGGTTAGAAATGAAGTATTTATCATCCCTTACTTTATCTACATTTGTCTCTTTTTCTGCATTAGGTCTCAGAAGTTGTTGAAAGGTTTCCTGCAGCCTGAAATGACAGAGCACCTCATATAAAGAACACCACTATTTTACATTTAAGGAGTATTGCTTAATAGATATTAATCTGAAGAAATATATTGTATGGTAAAGCTTTTGACACACTGCTGACCTTCTGAACACCCAGAGAGCATTTAATTTTTGTCTGATCAGAAGCACCTAATGTCACTGCACATGCTACAATGGAAACACTAAGACAAATACAAAATTTTGGCATCTGTGTTACCTGTACGTATCCTATAGCATCTGGTATGGTGTTTGCCACTCTTCTAGTTTCTTGCTGCTCATCTCTGAACATAAGAGCTCGTCCACTTGTTTCTAATTCACCTTTCCTTTCTATCTGGAATGCTCCTACAGAACTTTGTACTGAAAGGACTGGAGTGCAGCTGGACATGACATTTTTTTCTCTCATTGGAAGCACACTGAAGACATCCATTGGGCAAAACATCACTCTTTTCTATCCAGACAGGCTTGGCTACTATCCTTACAAAAATGAAGTCACAGGAGAGGCGTTCAATGGAGGACTCCCTCAACTCTCACTGCTGGAGAATCATTTAAAAAAAGCCAAAGAGGACATCCAGTTCTATATTCCTTCAGATGAACAGTTTGGATTGGCTGTCATTGACTGGGAAAACTGGAGACCTGTGTGGATAAGGAACTGGGGATCAAAAGACATTTACAGACAGGAATCCATTGAACTTGTTCAGCAGAGAGACCTCAGTCTGTCAGAAGCCGAAGCCAGAACTATAGCTAAAATGGAATTTGAAGCTGCAGCAAAATCAATTATGTTGGAATCTTTAAAGCTGGGCATAGAAATGAAGCCAAATCGTCTGTGGGGATATTACCTTTATCCAGACTGTTATAACTATGATTACAAACAAAACCCACATAATTATACAGGAACCTGTTTAGATATTGAAATAGAAAGAAATAATGAGCTTAATTGGTTGTGGGAGAAAAGCACAGCACTTTATCCATCTGTCTATCTAGAGACAGCCTTAAGATCTTCCAGAAATGCCCAGCTCTTTGTTCGCAACAGAGTTCAAGAAGCCATTAGAATTTCATATGTCTCTAATTCTACTCATCCCCTTCCAGTTTTTGTATATACACGTCCAGTATTCACAGATGTGTATGAGGAATATCTCTCCCAGGTGAGTGGAGCTAGACCTTAAATATTTCAAATTTAAGTGGAAAGAAATTACCAGGTGACACCTATCTAGCAAATATGCTAACTTGTATCAGAAAAAAAGTGTGTAGATTTTGTATAAAAAATTAAATTAATCCATCAAAGAAATTTGATCAAATGGAACACTGAGGTCTGTTTTTCAAACCTTCCTCATGATATTTATCAAATAGTGTTTTATTCTCTGAGTAGTCTTCACATGTAGCAAAATATTACAAAGCTAGAAAGCGTATTTAGTACATTAAGTCAGAGAAAAGAAATCTAAGTAACATCTTCCAAAGAGAATTGGTAAAACTGGGCTGGCCTAATGTCTGCTTTTTAGATTATAAGAAAAAACAATAAAAGGAAGTCTTTCTTCTCCTTAAAAAAGGGTTTAAAAGCTAGTGAGAAAATTACGTCCTTAGTTGTACTCTAGTAGCTTTCTAAATGGTATTTCAGTATCTCATGGGTTAGTCAAGGTTGGGCTCTGATTAAGGTCTGATCATCTTATTCCAGTTCCGGCTACACTTTTCCCTTCACATTTTTATAATCACCCACCCTATGAGATATACCACCAATCTGGGGAATCTCCTCCTGGTCATCCTGGCCATGAGGAAGGGGAAGTTAGAGGTTGTGGTCCTGGTGACTGCATTGTGTCTGGTGTCCTCTCACATTCTGGATAGAGCATCACCAGGCATTGCTCCCAGCTCCATGAATACCTTCAGGGATCAAGGGGTGCTATCAGGGTCCCTGCTGGGTTCCTAGTTAATAATTTAAACCCTGTAATGCTGACATTCTTCCTTTTCATGTGTTCTGCCCGGCAGTAAGTTGTTTTTCCCTTGTTCTTTTTCTACCTGTAGTCCTCCTCTCCGATCCCAGATGGGCTTTAAGATTTTGTTAGGGCTGGGCTAATAGCTGACCCTAAAAGGAGAACTGAACAAAAACAAATTTCCCAAATCAATCTCTGTAAAAGGCCAGAGCCATTCTCTGAAGAAAAGAGATTCCTGTTGGTGAAAACTCTTTCTCTTCCTACTTTTCTGCTTTAGCACTTTCTGGTAACTGAACTTAAGTTAAAAAATAAAAAAGAAAAAAAAAGCTGTGCTTTCCAGCTTCTGCTTCAGGCAGCATTACTGAAACCAGTTACAACCAACTCTGAGCAGCCAGGAGGCAATGCAGCAAAAGAAAACTTAAAATGGTTGGAGGAGTGTATGTCATATGCCTAACCACTGGCTCAGTTTTACAGCCTTGTTTTTCTAACCAGATGACATATATCAATTGGATATAGTTGGCAACTTTTTCTGGCATCACCTGCGCAACCCAACCCCAGAAGAAAATAGTGTGAGAGCAGAATGTTTGCATTGTGTATAATTGCTTGCTGTCTTCAAAGTAGTTATTTTGGATATATAATTTAACTATATGCACTATACCTTTTGCCCTTATGTTATAGCTTACTTACATTAGTATGATTCTTTGCACATTTCCCCTCAGGATGACCTGGTAAATACCATTGGAGAATCTGCTGCACTGGGTGCTTCTGGAATTGTGATCTGGGGTGATATGAATTTAACACAAAATAAGGTATGCCAGATTTATTATTATATGATATTTTTAAAGAGCAATAAAGTGAAGAGGATATAAAGCATTATGATTACTTACATCATATCTTCTACTTTTAAAATTATGACTCCATATTGCCAGCAGTCTTCTCTAGTCAAAACACAAGCATTTTTGAGGCTTATGAAGATTGTCATTGACTACAGAGAATGAATTCGATCTTTCAAAGTATCAGTGTTGGCTCTGAGTAACTGGACAAGCTACCATGATAACTGTAGGCAGGTTAGCACTTGTTTAGTTATTTTGGGGAAAGAATTCCTGCGTCTTTATTCCATTCCAGTCATGAGGTACAGAAAAAATTACTTATGCATGCCCAGAATAATTTTTAAAAGACCCTTCTGCTTTTTAAAGTGGTGCACTTAGCAATAATATTTAAAGCACTAGGAGGAGTCAGTCTGTGAAATTTCAGCTGTAGCCTGTTCTGTGTGTTCTAAGTAGTACTTCGATTAATTTCATTGTAAGAAAGATCTGAGTCAGAAGAGGTAAAAAAATCCAGTTTGTTTTAGGAAGGTCAAATACATAGTTTGAGAAACACTGTTATGAGGATGTTCAAATAAATCTTTTGAACTAGCTCATTCATGCACAGGCAAGCTAGGTACAACAAACTACTGTATGGGAAGACTTAAGTCTTCTAAGAGCAAAGAACTGAAACTCTTCAGCACTGCTGAGCCTTCTGTCACAGAAAGCATGGCCAAATAAACCTCCACAGCTCTGTAAAGGTCAAATTCCCAAAAGCATCCCACTTGGACTTTTTTGTATGTGCCTGCCTTTGAGAATGGATATCAGTCACACCTGATGCTTTTTTGCCCATTACCTCAATACCAGAACATAGATGAGCAACAACTTATTGCTTGAATTTTGAGATTTGTGTGAGCAAATAGAACTTTCCACAGCCCAGTCAGACTATGTATTTGTGCACTAATTGCACCTTTTTTTTTTTTTTACAGCTATCACAGTCAGTAGCCTTTCAGCAATGAAATATTACTGTGAGCCTCAATTCTGCAAGAATTGCATCAAGCAAAATTTCTAGGCAGGGTTTTTAGATATACCTAAAAGAAGAACAAAACCTACATACACCTCAGATTCACTGAAGTTATCTCCATGGGGGTAAATATTAGCTGTATCTATATGTGGTATTAGGCAAATGCCCTAAGGAGACACAGTATCAGAAAGAAAGAGTTCCAAAAGCCTCTGGTTATTAAACTGCACCAAACATACACAGAATATATGCCAACTTCATGATCAATTAGAATGATCAATTCTCTTAGCATACTTTCAGTTTGACCATCCTCCCAAAATGCTTTCCATTCAAAAATGCTGTGAAAGCTCCCTACTTCTGCAGCCTAGCTATTCAGGTCAGGGGAAAATTGAAGAGTCTCACAGAGATGATTTGATACAAAAATTATTTGTTCAGGCTGAAGAAGTGAGGTTTTTTTTAAAGATCCCTTCAAAGCATTCAAGACATAAAAAGGAACTTAGATCCTTCATGTAACTTCTTTAAATGCATCTGATTCAAAATGCTACATGAAATATACAGATAACATGAAAGCTTAAAGTTGTCTGCTTTCAGATATAAGTGCTTTTCGTAACATCTCCAGCAACTACCCAACATAAATTTACTGTGATCCTTGAACTATATAGCAACTTCTCAGATAAATCTGCTTCCAACAACCAGTTATATAACTGTTATCAAAACCTCAGGAGAAACACTCATAGATATCCACTACAGTACTGTTATTAGAACAACAGCATTTTAATGGTTTCCGTACTAAACTATGCAGATATGATGTTCTTTTTGCAGAACACCTGTAGAACTCTGGACAACTACCTTAGGAGGACTTTGACCCCATACCTCATCAATGTCACAATGGCAGCCAGAATCTGTAGCCAAGTGTTATGCCAAGACTCTGGTGCTTGCGCACGGAAAAAATGGAATTCCAGTGACTATCTTCACTTGAACCCTGAGAATATTGTCATTCAAATGACAAAGGATGGAAAATACACTCTACAAGGGCAACCAGCATTTCAGGATCTGCAAACGTTCACAGAGAATTTTGATTGCCACTGTTATGCAGGGCACAGCTGTGAACCTAGAGCTGATATAAATGACATCCATTACCTCCATGCTTGCATTTCAGAAGATATTTGCATTCAGATATCCTCAAATTCACTTTCTAATACAGAAGCCTCTGAAGAAAAGATCCTGTCTAACAGAACTGTATTTTCATTTACCTCTCAGAGTAAGGTGACATTATCTACACATCCTGAAATAGAAGATTTCCAATCTACCTTTGGAAATAACACACTCAATACAACAACTGCAGAATATAACACTGTCACAGCTGCCACTAGGTATGATTTAGAAGCAAATGATACTCGTACTTTCAGTAGTTCTTCATCCTGTAAGATGAAGATGTTTAATCTGTTTTGTTTAATTCTAATTTTGAGGACTTTAACGTAAATGACCCACTAAAGTGAGAATACTCTCTTCCCTGGCTGCGTTTGAAATTCTAAAGGTTTTATTTACAAAGAAAAATCATTCCTGAAAGGCATATGATCTTATCTGTATCAGGTAACCTTTTCTATTCCATAGGTGACACTTCAGCTTGAATGTAATTCCTCAGTTTAGTTCTATAAACTGCTATTTGTGCCAAAGATACACTGGTCTGTATATACTGATTATACCATGTGAAAGGATAATGCAGAATAAGGAACATTTTTTTACAGTTTATATTTTTAACAGTTATATTTGAAAAAAAAAATTGTTGATAATGCTGTTTTGTATACTGCAAGTTAAGCCAGTTAAATACATCTCAACTTGGATTTCATCGAGTCTCAGCAGTCAACAGGTTTGATGCTCTATGCGGGAATGAATTTCATTCCATATGAAAATTAGATCTTAAAAATATTTGGCTTAACTTTAGATCTATGGGACTTTGCAGCATAAAATATACCTGATTAATGTAATGTTTCTCCACGTTTCACAATATCTACAGGGACACTGTGGTTTTTCTTTTAAATAAATATATTGATAACTATTCAAAAGGTTCTAACTTTGATGTAAATGTTGACTTCAAATATTACAGCTTCATTATTTAAAATTTGAGCTGTAGTGGTTTATCTTTCTTTTTTTCTTCTCTTCTTCTCCCAAGCCCTCCCCCTGATTTCATATGTCCCCTCCCTTGGCTTTCAGTTGTTTTGTCTGGCCAATACTCACAACTCATCTGATCTGCCTCTGCACTCCCTGCTGGCATTGGTCACCAGTCCTAGTTTCCCCGTCCAGCCAGCCCTAGCAGCTGGATAGGGCTGTCCATGCCATTTGGACAAAAGCCTGTGAGCGTGGAACTTTCTCAATGCCTGACTATTTCCTGAGCACTCTCTTTGGTGGAAACCAGTTTGTCGTTAGGAAAACCCAGCAGTGGAGGCTGCAAGGTAAGTGACACTGGGGACCTGGGACTCCCTTCACTTCCAGTGCCCATGATCCCCAATGTGAAGACCACCTTTTTGATCTAGTCTGCTGACAGAACTGTACTACTATTTGCTTAATATTATTCCATTGCCAAAAGCAGTGTGAAAGTAGCAGAGACACCTCAGAAGAAAACTACTCCCAGTATGATATCAGGAGTCTAGTTATGATTTACGTATAGTAACTTTAAGCATTTAGAAGCAATTAACTGCAGTTTATTTGATAAAATAACCTTTTCAAATTATTATGTCAGATGCTTAATAGATGGCTGGACTTCTGATGGGTGAAGAGTGGCTGCTGGCATGGGTACATCAAAAAGTCTCCCTAGAGCTACGCATGATCTGCATAAATAAATCACCACCTCCCACAGATACAACCTGCCTCACTAATGGAAATACCTGGGATTTCAATATAGTAGCCCTTGATTTACAGAAAGTTCAATGCCTTAATCTAGCAGAAAACATGTATTGTATCTATTGCCTTTGAATTTTCAGGTTGTTAGTCATAACAGATGTGCAGAAAAATAGATGAAGCCTTTAGACTTAACATGGAGAAATAATGTTTTGTGGCTTTTGGCCAACAAGTTGTCAGGAGGAAGTGACGATCTTCTCACCACAGCTACGGTGTTGAGTCCACAAGTCAAAGCTATTTCTGCCATTAATGTTCCAAGTAGAATCATGAATAAAAAATATCTATGTAGCAGACTATCTGGCACAAAAGAAGCCAGCTGGTTTTGATCACCTCTGTAAAAACATGTTTTTTTCACTACAGCTTTGATATGAGTTATTTGATCTTGGGTAAACAAAAGCCATGGTATCAAAATTCCTGTATCTAAGGTCCTTCCCTTTCACAGTGCACTTGTGGTAACTATCAAAGCGTGTTTCTAAAAACTGGAAACATCACTGGTAATGCCTTAGCATATGTTGTATGACTTACATAAGTTTTATTTTTTCAACAGAGTGCTTTAACATGGCTAAAATTTTACGTTGGCACACAGAGTTCTAGTTCAAAGGCTGCACTGCTTTGTTAAATGTTTGGCACAGTTTCCTGAGGTTAGGCTTGTTTGTGTCTAATGCACTGAAAGACGCTGGATCTGTAACACTTTGTGATAAGAGAGCTCGCAGGTTCACAAAATGTACAAGTCTTGCCATAAATATTTTTTACTATCAGCCAAGTAATAGCAAGCAGAGCATTTGTGATGGGGAAAGCATGAAATCACCAGAAAAGGAGGAATGAGAAGTTAAAATCACAGAAGACTTGAGACAGAGCACCCAGGACCTCCCAGTGGATGCAGACACAAGTGAAATGCAGAAGGGAAAGAGTGAAGCAGTGGGGAATGCGGACAGACCAGTCTCTTCCCATTCAACAGTTTTTATCTACCTGGCATTTAATACCAACAACCTTTCCCCAAGGCTCACTGTAAAGATAAAGGAACACAGTAACTGATACGTTAGATTAGACCTATCCATCTGATCCCATCTCTTTTTTTCTTGAGGAGCAGAAAAGTAAAAGGAAGGTGAGAGGAAAGCAGACTATTGCAATAAACTGTGCACAGAAGTGTGTCTTCCTAAGCTGCATGCATAAATAGCTAGCTATGTTGTGCTCTTATGCACAATGCTTTACCAACCACCTTTTGAAAGTTCATTTGGGGCGTTTATGTTACCTACATGTATCTGCAATTCATGTTTTAAATCCTACCAACTTCTTGCCATAGTGAGATTCAGGCCAGCTACGTGCTGTGTAAAATTACAGTATTTTCCAAATATATTATTTTGCTCTGTATTATATTTGTCTTGCCTATATTCTACGCTAAAGAGTCACCATGGAGTCAGCTAGTCTTTATGGAGTAAAGAAGGAGAAAAGAAGGAAAAAAGGGGTGCTATGCCTTGCATTGCTGGTGACTATCTTATGTTCAAAGCCAAACTTATATTCTTGTGAAGCGGACCGCCCCCCCCCCCCCCCCCAAAAAAAATCACCTTCCATTCACTGCATTTCCTGTAATCATTAGTTGTCTTTGTAGCATTATAGTTTCAGTTTCTTATGCTCTTGTATTTTTCAGAAGGTTAAATACTGGAGGAACATTCATTTCACTTTCATCGTCATTCATTATTTTGTACTTCTCCATTCTAGGCAGAATTCAGGCTGGCAATACTTAGGGACTGGGAAATGCTAAAATGGGTTTGATGAAATGGTCTAAATGAAAGTTGTTTAGCTACCTCAAGTGCCCTTGTTCAATGTCTAGAAATTTTGTTGAAATTTTAATTTAAATTCTGCTTCTCTATCTGAAGAATCTGGATCTGGTTTATTGTGTTGCTTATTCTGGGACACCCAAAGATATTGGCACTTTTAAGAGAGATGCCTATTGGCACTTACAGAATCTAAACAGAAGTGAAATCATAGTCTAGTCCCTGCCTTACAGTTTCTTGCTTCTCTGTATTAATAACAACAACACAGAGAGAGATTTTGAGAGACAGGCCAATAAGACCACTTCATAGACAGACTAGGATCTGACTAGCATCCCAGGGAGTCCAGCAAAATTTGCTTGAATCCCTGCATCACACTGGGACACCCTGTTGTATGTATATACCAGCAAAGAATTGTGTGGAAGATTTCAGACCTGTGCAGTATGCACTAGACAACTCCCAGACACAGAGTAGATTTGTACATGTACCTATCTGTCACTTTTCAAAACAAACAAGACAGCAAAGACAGTTACATAATTTCAAAACATTTTCAGTTATGGAGCACTGATGACCTTTTTAAGAAGGCAACTAAATTCCATCCTTCAAGCATACACACTTAAAACTTACTGGAAAGGTTTTTCACAGTGTGCTTGTGCAAGCCCCTTTGCACTGGCAGATAGTCATTCTGCCAAAGCAAAACAGCCTGCAAAATTAGGGTCTGAGATTTCAACAGTCATGGGTTTCATTCAAAAGAATAACATCAATACAAACAAATGTTTATTGCATGGGTTCAGAAAAAAAATTACTGCTTTATTTAACAATGACTTCATCTTTCTTAAAGAAATTTCTTTTTTTTGTTCTTTCATGACAGTTTTTTTCCTGTCCTAGTCAAAACAGTTGTATAGGTGGCTGGAAAAAGATTCAAAAAGCTTATTGGTCTAAATTCATCCCTTAACACTTCTAAATGTTTCCTGATGCGTGGCTATCCCTGACCTTTCTGTCTGTTTTTTCTGGAAAGACTCCACTGAAATTTAACCCAGCATCATGGTATTTTTTCTTTATGATGATAGTCATGCACACATGCAGTATTCAAGATCAATCCTAAGTTTTTGTGTATACCAGTCAAGGATCAGGGTCTTTAGAGAACAGTTCTTTTGTGTAGGTGTTCTGAACCTTTCACAGCTACTTTTCCCTTCAGTGTCAGTAGTACTCAGGACTGCAAAATCTTCCTGCATTGTCCCCTTGCTGCATATGAGAAAGTAAAGGGCAAGGAGGTAAAGGGCACCTATCAAGATTAGCATCCTTAAGGGAATAATTTGGATTTCATTATGTTCACTAATGTGTTACCACCATCATGGTATATTGATTACAGTTCTCCTTGGCCAGTAGTAATTACATGACTTTTCAGTGTATGCTTGTATAATCCTTAGTTTTTATAACTGATAAGGTATATATTGATTAGTAATTGGACACAAACAGACAGTACGAAAATTAATATGAATCACTACTTGATATATTCAGCCAACATTTTGTTTCTGTGCTCACAATTCCAGAGCGTCGTGTTCAGCAGCATATATATGTGGACATCAGACAATACGCAGTCACCCTTCTCTGCCTTTGTTTTCATCTCAGAAAATATATTTATTCAACAGAACTTCAAGAGCCTACAGAAGAAATATACCATAAGTTGGCAGTCTCCTTCTGAAGCACACTGCTCCCTCAGGCTACTAGCAGGTTGAGGCAAGATGATAGCTTGCCAGTGCCAAGTGATGATTTCCTGAGGCAGGGACCTAACAACCACCCATTTAAAAG